CCTGGAGCTGGACAGGTTACTGGGACTGCTACGAAGAATGTTTTCAGCGCTGAAATTGAATTGCAGGAACCTGGGAAAACCTTGATGGTTGAAAGTATTGTTGGGATGGTTCTAGATGCTAAAATTCATAGGGTGTCAGATACTCCAGTGACTGTTGGGGATAAAGAAATCCAGACAAGTGATGGATTATCTTCAAATTTCAAAGTGGATAGAACTAAAGTCTTACATGAAGGACCCTGCACCATCTTTGGGAAACTTTTGATGCTCAAGTACTGTCAGAGGATTTCTCGTTTGAGGATGAAGAATTCTTAAAGGAACGATGGGGCTATGAGTGAAGTGGCTTCCATGGTTGGGGTCCCAATAACAACGGACAATGTCACTTAAGAAAGAACTAATCATGACTTTGCTAGAGTATTAATTGAGGTTGATGTTTCTAAGCCACCCCACTTTTTCCTATACGGCTACCTTCCGGAAAGGTATTTAACCAACATGTGCTATATGAAACTTTTCCCAATTATTGTTTTTATTGCAAAGACTATGGGCACCACCCATTTATCTGAGAGAAGCTAGCTAAAAAAGAAGAGTAAAATAGTTGAGAAAGAGTTGGAAACTACTAAATTGTTGAATAATTTGGTTTTGTTGGATCCACCCCCAGTTGATACACCGCGGGCTTGTCAAGTTGAGCCCTCTGTTGTAGAGGTTCACCTTGAACCTGTTGGAAAAATGTGTGAAAAATTGCATTAAATGGTAATTTTGGGGCAATTTTTTGAGTGGGGTCCACTTTCGATTTGGGTCGGGTCAAAGTGGTTTCGGATTGTCCTTGTTAAGGGCTACAATTCGATATATGGTATGCTCAAAACGGATAACGGGTGAATGAGAAATTGATTCTCGAAGTTTACCCGTTAGAATGGGAAAACTGGGAAAAATGATGGTTTCTAGTATGCTAATTTCCCACACCGGAAAACCCAAGGGATTTGCAACCCTTTATAAAGGGACTCCCCCCTTAAGGAGTTAAGATTCCTTAGGGTAAAGGCTCTCTCCACGCGCGCAGGGGGGGGTGCAAATCAAATCCCGAAATCGGAGAAGAAAAACCGCGACTTGCGTGCGCGGGCGACCTGCGGACACGAATGTCGTCCAAAAATCTATCTCTCAAGAGATACAATTATTTTTTGTTTTCTTCCCGAAACGTTTAATTTTTTCCCAGCGGTAAAAGTGCGCGGGCAACCTGCGGACACGAATGTCGTCCAAAAATCTATCTCTCAAGAGATACGATTAATTTTTGTTTTCTTCCCGAAACGTTAAATTTTTTCCCAGAGGTAGAAGTGCTCGAACAGAAGCCTACGGAACAGAACACCTCGTTGGTATTCTGGTGGCCTCATGACAGAACCCCTCTTGGGGTCTTCTGTTGGCCTCGGAACAGAACCCCTCTTGGGGTGTTCTGTTGGCCTCGGAACAGAACCCCTCCCAGGGTGTTCTGTTGGCCTCGGAACAGAACCCCTCCCGGGGTGTTCTGGTGGAGGTCTTCTGTCGCGCATCTGAACCGTTACAACAATAAATGTCCAACGTTCTTATCTTTTAATGCAGCGTTAAATGGACAGTTTATGGACGATTCAATGCCCAACGGACTGATTATTGATGTCCAACGTTCAGGTCCATTAATTCACCATTTACACACAACAAATCCTCATATATAATGGCTGGTAGGTGGTTTGCAACAACACACGAATTCATACACTTCATGCACGTTTTGCACCTCTAAAACACACTGCTAGCAATCTGAAAATTCCCTAAGTGTTCATACTGTGTTCTCGTTCGCTGGAACTCTTGTTTGTGTGCTCAAACACTAGTTCGTAGTCATCGTATCCTGGGAAACGATTGTTGCAACGCTCCTAGCACCGTGGGAGGCAACAAATACGTTTTGAGGACATCGTGCGTAGCACGAGCTTTGGCTAATTCTGCTTTATCTCCTTTCTTGTTTTTCTCTAGTCATTTTATTTAATTGTTTTATTTTAATTAATTTTCTTTATTTTCCAAAACACACCCAACAGAACCTTCCTAGACTGAGACAAAGATTTGGATGCTCAAGTGCGGATTTTGGAAATTGTTCGTTGGAAGGATAGATGAAGACCCCCTAGCCAAGACTGTTGAATTTTTTTTGTTTAGGTATAGATTGTATGTTTATTTTTTGGAATAAAAATTGCTAACGAAATCTTACTCTTAATTAAATTGCTCGCACATCATTTACTCAAACAAAATTTCCCAACGGTGAGAAATACAATCATAGAAAGCAAGTGGCTCAGCAATGTGGTAGATAGCTATCTGATTTCCTATTGAATCACTGGATTTTGTGTATTTTTATCACTAAATCTATCGAATCTATCAAAGTTTAAGTTATTTTTTTAAATCAAAGTCTCTTTTTCATCATGTGATTCTTCCTTATAGACTTATATTTTGAATTTTTTTGAACCTTTTATTCTACTAATCCACTATTATCCATATTTTCATAAATGAATGTATCATACACCCAGGTCAATGCTTTTGTATTAATTTTAGATACTTGGGTTGTAGAGTTTTAATTGTGGTTTTCATACATCAAGGATGGACAATGTTCAGATCCTGATACCGGACCGGTAGGACTGACCAATTTTAAACCGGGGCCAAAAATTAAGGTTCCGGGATGGGACTGAGAGCCGGGGGTTAAAGGGGGGCGGGTCCCAACCACACTTTTTGGGCTGGATCGGCAGATACGGTCCATTTTTTTGCATTACCCCAATCATGAATCAACCTAAAAGGGGTGGGGGTTATTTAAAATATAAAAGGGGTGGGGAGGGGTTGGAAGGTTTAAAACAAAAGGAATAAAAAGTACTCCGTATTAACTAGGACCAACCGGGACTGGCAAGTGAATCAGCTGGAAATATACATCTCAGGTTTGATAATTTTTTCAGGACCACCAGGTCGGGGGCTGGAGTCGTGCGTGTCTGTACCTATGATACATGAGTGGCTAATTGTGCCTTTGCTATTGTTTTGATAGAGGATTGTACACGTATAGTGTTTGCATAAACAATTTTGTATGCATCTTTGTAAATTTTACAATAGTATATAACTATTCAATGTTTCCCTTGTGTAATCTATCAACATATTCTAATATTATAGCTACAATTATCAATTGGGCATTTTCCCATTGCGCAACGCGCATCGTATAACTAGTCCCTTTTATATGTTTGTAATATTTTTAAGACTCAAGTTTGTTTATTTCAATTTAAATTTGATAAAACATGAGATTGTATTTTTCATATGTGTGAGTTGTGTTTACAGACACTTTCTGAAGTTACATGTGATAGTATATGCAGTTACATCCTATTGTGCATGTGTGATCAGTTACATCTTTGTTATGAATGAGTTACATCTTCCTATGCGCGATTTACATTTGGACATGTCTTAACAACAAGTTACATTTTACAAACATCTAAGTTAAATTTTTCGTCAATGAGAGTTATATTTTTCATAACATAAGTTACTCTCTCCGTCCCACTAACAATGGGACAAGAGGGAGTGCCACACAAATCTGTAAAAAGTGGTTTATGTGGTTGATATCGAATTGATAAAGTAAGAATAACGTAAGAATGATTAGAGCCACACAAACTTTACCAATTAAGGTTTGAGACAATCTTAGTGGGACGGACCGAAATAATAAAATGGGACACTCTTAGCGGGACAGAGGTAGTACATCAAAAAATAAACCCCTGCTATTGAAATTAAAAAAATCATTTTTTTGGCAATTTTTTTTGGCAAAAAAATGTTTTTAAAACATTTTTTATGACTTTAATATTTAATTAAAACAAAACATATTCACTATTTACGTAAAGTAAATCAGCAATAAGATTGTAACGTAATTGAGTAATAAGATTACTCTCATTGTTTATATTGAAATCAATGTTTTATCTCTAATACGTAGTATTTCGTATTAGACAAGTTACATTTACACGCCTGAAGTTACATTTCATGTCAACGTGAGTTACATTTCTTTACATGTGAGTTACATCCCCTGCAACTGGATAATGAAAAAAAAAATTGTTCACCCGCTTGAACAGTAACACGCGTTTTTTCCTGTGGGAGCAGCATGCTCACGGTGGGTTGCTCCCACGATATACGAACTGACTTTATGCTGTTATATTATTTATTATTTATTCTACGGAGTATAAATGTCACAGTCTCACAGGTAAATGTCCCGTAAAGCTGGCACAATTATGAATTATTTTGTTTAATCACCCTTTCAATCACCCGACCAACGTAACTCTCAGGCTAATTACAATAAAAAAAATCTCTAGCTAATTTAATTAAGCTAGTAATTTTTGGGGAAATCTATTTACCTATGACTAAAACATTCTTAGATTCTTAAAATTAAATATACCACGTATATGACCAACAAACTTAAACACGTCTTACTATAAAAAAACACTTAAACATATATTCTATGTAGCACGGAAATTCTCGGGGAAGAGTACGTTTCAGTTTCGAAAACTCTAAGGAAACTCTTTGGAAACTCTCAAACAAGCTAAGCGTTTTTTGAGCAAAAGTTAACGTTTCTCGTTTTCCGTTTTCTCATGATTTTCGCGTTTCCGTGCAAATGGTGCAATATATATAACATATCTTTATAACATCAAAAAACATATCATACATGGAATGATGGAAAACGCCTTTAATTTAGAAATAAAACACTATTTAGTCATATTTTAGGAATTACGGAGTAACATTTAACACCTCTCTTAGTCATACTTATGGTAATTTTCTCTAATTTTTGTCCAAACAGGCCCGCATGGCCGCATGGCTTAATACTTACGGCGCACATGAGAATCTTGAATGGACGTTGATTGCTTATGGAGTTATCTTGCACTTTATTAACAGTAGTGCATGTAGCTTGTAGAGAATTGAAGTGTAATTTGTGAAAAACTTTACCTCAGCATTAAGCAACCTAAACCAACGTCCAGTATAAATTAGTCACTGCCTCAATTTAAGTTCAGCATCAAACCACATTAGCACAACGTAACGAGCAAAGTACGTAATAATTAAGTTCATCGGGATGGGGAATTCGTCGGAGAAGTTTGGATCGTCGTCGTCGTCGGAGAAGGTTGCTACAGCCGAGGAGTGGCAAAGGGCGGTGAACAAGGTGGTTCAGGCGGTGGTCGCGATCCACGTCACAGCTTGCCGAAGTTTCGACACCGAGTCCGTTGGTTCTTCAACCGCAACTGGCTTTGTTGTCGATAAGCGCCGTGGAATTATTCTTACTAACAGACATGTTGTTAGCCCTGGTACGTATACGTACGTGCATGATCGTAGGTTGATGATAGATGCATTTTTAGGTAACTAGTTTCTACGGTACCCATAAGGTACCATACATTTGTCCACATGGACCAATAAAAAGGTAGCAGTTGAATTATTTAAATCTAAATTAAAATTTATAAAGTGATGTGGTCCAATCAAATGAATGCTAGGTACAGTACCCCTGTTTTTAGAAAGGTACGGGAGTTGTCACCTTTTAGGTAAGTGTTGCATGTCAATAGCCTCCTTAACTATAGAGAGATTTTACAAAACATACATTGTGTGTCACTCCCTCTTGACTCATTGTTAGTGGAACGAGAGAGTAATTTATAACAAAACATTTATTGGTTATTTTTGCTGATATTGTTTTATATACGAAGTATATAATAAAAATCAATACAAAGTTGTTACCATGTGTGTTACAAGTTATACTACGTACGTGCTTTAATTTTGTAATTATAAATTATACTCGGTATTTCGACCGTCACAAATAAATATTAAGTAGTTAGGATGATGAAAACGGTTAGCAACACAAGAGGGGGGTGAATTGTGTGTGTGGAACCGTGGCAGTTTTTCGCCCAGTTCTAGTGCGGGGTGAAGGGTATTGCGAAATAGTAAAGTGCACAAGGATTTAACGAGGAAAAATCCCTTGGCTCAAAGGGATTAAAAAACCTCGACCTCCCTCGGAGGAATTTTAACAACTTCACTAAAAAGCCTTTGAATGATTACAAGGGAAACTCTCCTAGTCTACCCTTGAGCCACCCCAACTCTATCCTCTCTAGGAAGAGTTACGCTTCTCTACCTTGCGGGTAGAGAGCCTCTCAGCTTTACAACAAAGCTCTCACAACACACGTTACCCAACCCGAGGAAGCTACACTTAGCTAATCCTCAATAACCCAATTATAATATAGGAAGAGAATAAGAACTCTGTCTAGAACTCCGGGAGCAGTTTCAGGTGCCTTGAACTTTGTATTTCTCTCGAGTATCTCTCTTGATATTTTCTCGGTCAAGCACACCCTGCTTCTTCTTCTTGATCTCGATTATATAGTCAACTAGGAATGGATCCGTTGAGACACTTCTTTCCTTGAATGGTTGAGGAACTTGCCTTGAAATTATTCAAAATGCTTTCCTTTTATTTAAGGATCTTCTAGCTCTTAATTATGATGGTCCTTGGTCAACCATATATATGGGAGCAGGAGGATACGTGCATACCATGAGCAAGTCAAAAAGGTATAGAGCATATTATGTGATCAACCATTTAGTAATAATTCCACAAAGATATATATCAATACATATCAAGGGAAGTTATTTATTCACTTAAACTATGCAAGCATGCAACGGATCATATTTCAAATAATATGCAGGAGAATATTTGTTAAATAGGTATGCACAATCAACTAGCTAATCAATTAAGGATTCTTTCCATAAAATAATAAGCTATAATAATAAATCATGCATGAAAATATATTTTTGCTTAAAATAATATTCTTGACAAAGTATAAGCACTCATATAAGGAAAGCACATATTAATTAAATCATACACCATGTAAATCAACCGTTCACACAGAATACAATTAAGAATAATTTTGTCTTCCGTTCCGTATGGAACTGAGAGCGGTTCCGTCCGCTGTTCCACCTGCATAGTTAGTCATTAATAAAACTACATACTCAACAGATTCTTTCCTTTGAGATCGGTCTTCTTAGATGGGCAAGATCAGGACTTGATGTACTATCTTTAATAGCTCGGATCTCCATATATATTTCGGTCCTCTTGCATGGAAATCATTCAAAAATATTTCCTTATAGGTATTAAAAGATATTCTTTTTATTTGATTGAAGGAAATCATTTTTCTTAAGGAAACATTCCTTGTGAGAAGATATGCACGAAAATCCTTTTTGAATTTTGAATAACAACAATTATTTTGGAAACTTGCTTTGTAGAAATATCTCTTAATTAATGCCTTTGATTTAAATAACTTTCCTTTAAAGAAAAAAATCCTTTCTTTGTATGATCATTGATTATTTTCTTGCTTAAAAGGTTCTCTTTAATTTAGCAAGATAGATCCGAAATTAAATGGAGAGAAAAGATATTTTAAGCAAGCCGGATTAATCAATCTTGGATTTACGGTGCAGTTCTCGGACCAGTTCTACGGCTTGTTCCAGAGCACGACTTAAACTCTTTTCATGTAGTCACTTACAACCAAAAGTAACACTAGTCGTTTGTCATCAACAAAACAATACGTTCCAACAAATTCCCCCTTTTTGTTGATGACAAACACTTGGTGCCCTAAAGTTAGTTTCATAATGAATAAGCCCAAAGTATCGAGCATAGAACACATAGGGCACATATTCTTCCCCCTTTTGTCACCAACAAAACAATAAATAGCTTGAAAGATAAAAGATAAAAGATAAATTTAGGAAAGATAGTTCATGCCTTGATGAACCCAAGTTCCATCCATATTTGTTCATGTTCATCAAGCTTGTTCTTGAATACCCATTTGAGACCTATCTTGGTCTTGTTCTTGGGTCTCGGTTCTAGATGCCACACTTTATTTCTCTCGAACTGATTTAGTTCTTCCTGCATTGCTAGAACCAGTCAGTTTCGGAGAGAGCCACTTCATGGTTCTCCGGTTCTATAAGTGATAGATAAGCAAAGAAGGAATAAAAATTTCTAAGTTTAGATCTAGTAGTTACTCCCTGATTTAGGTTAATCAAGAGGTTATCCAAAGGATGTGATTGATGAAGTTTCCATCCTCTATGAGCATTTGAAGTCTTCAATTTCCTACGAGTCGTCTGGAACTGGATCTGCCTGTTCTTCAGTCTGGTTGGCAGTGGATATCCTCAGTTCTAAGCACGTTATCGTCAGTTCCTGCTTCTATCTCCTTATGGCGATTAGTTTCATGATTAGTTCCCCCTTGCTCATGGAATTGGTGCAATCTCCGTGTTTAGAGCTTCTGCCCAAAAATTCTTTGCGCTAGAGATTGACATAGTTCTAGTCATATCCTTCAGTGTTCTTTTCTTCCGTTTTACCACCCCATTTTGTTGAGGCGTTCTAAGAGCAGCGAAGTTGTGGTCTATCCCTTGTTCTTGGCAGAATGTATCAAGGAGCTTAATGTCAAATTCGGTCCCATGATCCGAACGAGTCTTAATTAATTGCTGCCCTGTTTGATGCTCAACTTTTCTTACAAAAAATAACAAACTCATTAAAAGTATCTTTCTCACTATCAAGAAAGATAGTCCAAGTATGTCTTGAGAAATCATCAACAATTATAAGCACATACTCTTTATTAAAAATAACATTGTTACCTTTGTCACAGAATTGAAAGATACTTAGCAAATTGAACTTAAAACCTTAAAAAAAATCAATTGAATGGTTGGGTGATTTTCCGGTTTTTCCCACGGCTACAATTTCTCCTTTGCCTTTGTCTCCAAATATCACCTTCCCACCACTAAATGGCCGAAGTGAGAGGAATAAAGATGAGTCTCCAGTCCTGTGCTTAGAACAACCACTGTCAAGGAACCAGTGATTGTTCCCCCTCACTTGGCGCTGTTCCTGAATCACGGGTTAGTCCGTGGAACCCAGACTTGCTTGGGTTCCATTTTGTATTTGTTTGAGGATGGATATCGAACATAGTCAAAACATCTTTCTAAGGTCTTTTGTCGAGAGTGACATTGATACCGAAGATGCCCGATTTTGCCACAATGCATGCAAACTCGGTTGTCATAGGTATCAACGTATTTAGGTTTCCACTTACCATAAAAGCCTCTTGTTTTCTTATGAAAAGTTTGGTTTGGCGTTTGTCCATAACCGTTTTTGTGCCTCTGAACCAGTCTATCGAACCAGTTTGGTCCAGTTCTAGGTGGTTGTTGATATGGTCTAGAACTGGGTTGTCCTCTGGTTCTATTTCCATTAAAGGATCGGTTCTGAAAATCAGGTTTTTTATTAGGTTGAGTGTTCCTTGGAATATAACCGAGACCAGCAGTCTCGTTTTCCTTCTTATTGTGCCGAGGGGGACCAGTTCCAGAATAAGGTCTAGACCTGGTTTTGTTCGTAGCACTATATGCTTGGTATTCCGGTCTATTTTTAAAATCTGTACACTCGGCAACAAGACGATGAAGATGATCAATCAAAGTACCAACGCTCGGAATTTTTGAGAGAAGTTTTTCATCATGATTAACTTGTTTGTTCATACTATCGAGCTTAAGAGAGCAAATGATTTGATCTTGTTCTAAAACCACTTCACTGTACTTAAGCCTTTCATCTATTAACTCTCCCACTTTTGTTTCAAGCCTTATCTTGGCTCTCGTGGCTTCCTCGAGTTTAGACTCAAGCTCAGTGATTTGTGATTTAAGATGATCATTTTCAGAAAGGTTTTGATTAAGCTCAATAGTCAATCTTTTGAAAATTTTCCGGGCTTTGGTTTTGGATAGAGAGTCAAACTTAGATAGAAAATTTTCAAAGTTTACCTCGAAGCTCTCTTGGTCGGATTCCTCGTCGGAGTGTGCCATAAGACATAGACCTGTATGGTTAGAGTTCTTATCACTCTCCTCTTCTTCGTCATCGGATGAGTCTCCCCATGCTGCCATCATTGCCCTTTTGAGATCTCTTTTGAACCCTTTGTCTTTGCTGGACCTCCGGTTAGAACTGGACTTGTTCTTGTCGTAGGTCCGGTCATTTTTCTTTTGTGAACAGTCTTTAGCCCTGTGCTCAAGGGAACCACAAACAAAACAGCCTTGGTTATGAAAAGATTGAAAGTTATTTTTACCTTGTTTGTTCCGGTTGTTCTTGAACCGTCGGTACATCTTCCCGAATTGTCTAGCAAATATGCTCATCTCATCTTCCGATTCACTTTCGGATTCTTCCTCCTCTTCTCGAGCTTTTAGAGCAATTCCTCTCTCTCGCCTTACAGTCTCAGCGTCTTGCTCTTCTTGAAGCCCTAACTCATATGTCAAGAGTGAACCGGTCAAGTCTTCAAGAGTCATGGTGGAT